ATTAAGAAATTTGACTATATTGCCTGTGTGCGCAGGTGCTCGAACAAAGTCACCAACTCTCTTCGAGCTTTCCTGTTACAGATAGACAAAAAAAATAGGACAAAACTATTTTCAGGAAATGCGGGCGATACGAGAGAGTCGTTCGAAATCTTTTGTTCTGTAACGATTTTTTCTACAAACGTAAAAACTGACATAGAAACAACTTTTATATTCCGTAACTCTTTTATAAAATGAGTTTATATGAAATATAAATCTTTTGCATATTTTGTACACATGTCTTTTTACATAGATTTTGTATACAATGTACACTAAAGTGCATTGTATACAATAATAATATGATTTTACAAATATTTACCAATGTACATTTGTCTTCGATGTGTCTCAAGAACATAAAAATTATTTAATCTTTACAGGTGTAAATATTTGACACAAATTTCTATATATGAAATTTTAACGGAAATCTTATAAAAACTTTAATACTTTTGCATATTTTAAATGTCAAATTCAGGGACGACAATTAAACGAGAATTATCGTAAAATTTACGAATGGAAGCAAAAGTGAAACCTAGAAACTGTGATGAAGTATTTTTTAGAATGTATTATTTTCTTAGTTTGTGTTTAGATTCATTAGTGCACGTGTAATGCAACTCAATAATATCGCCAACCGAATGAGCTATCTCTTTAATCACAGTCAACGTTACAGAACAATTAACACGTGTGATTTAATTATAGTAACTATTTGTGTACCTACACAAATACAGTTTAAAATCATTTTATTAAAATAATTGCGATGTTATTGAGTCCCAGTGCCGTTTTAATAACAAACAATATACAATAGGACCTCAGGCTCAACAACGATCTAATGATGTTCAGTTTCTCTCTAAGAAGTTTTTACGTCAAATCGTTGTTTAACGAAGTTTTATTGTACGTAATAAATAAAGAATAGAGAAAAGAACATCAGCTGAAAAACGTGAGGCTAGAATCGAACCCACTACAACGTTAATAAGTAGGAAATCTTTTTTCACATCAAATCGTTGTGTAATATGGTCTTACTGTACAAACTAGTTATTAATCAGATATGTACATAAACATATATACACTCGTATATATGTGCGCGTACATAAATCAGTATTAAAGTTTGATTTTTCTCGTGACATGAATTTTTCTCTTTATCCGTCATTTCTACATTCAACCCCTGCATAACGCAACGCATGCTGCTATGCATTTACCCTCACCCCACTGACGCAATGCATCGGGGGAGCAAAGTTCTGATTACCCCGACCGTTCTTCGACCCTGAGAAGCATTTATGTTACGTCGACATCGTCTGCAAGGTTAAAGAATCTCGCGACACTTCGGTTGAGAAAGTTTCATACACTTAGAAAAGTTTTGCATTATCCGAATCTACACTTTCGTCGGAAAGTTTTATCTAATCCAATTAGTGAATTTTTTTTTTAGCAATTGTTAGGAGGAACAACACGCTAAATTAAATGCGACAATAATATAAAACGGTTAGAATTTATGGCATATACATACGCGTAAATTTCAAATATATTCAATCAAATATTCGAACGTGATCATGGAAATGTCTCCTTTATGGATAATTTACATATAATTTAACGCAATATGTGCGAATACACGTTCTTAGAAATGTAGAATATACAACTTTAGCTTCGGATGAATACTTCCGCGTAGCGAATCGCGAATTCGAAAGGAAATCGAAAAATTACCGAAAAAAAAATCAAACTACAGCAAAGAAGAGCAACTATCGACTCGACGTTTAACTATAATTTATAGAAAAGAAAAATACATGTTCGTGACGTGTGTATATTATCGCGATGGTTGGCACGTGTAAAATATGTGTAACTGGATGTTGTCGGTAGAGTCGAAGGGTTTCGGCATGGGTGACGTCTCCTCGAGGGGAACACGAGGACTCTCTCTCTGGTGACGGGTGCCCGAGGGTGGAGTCGGGGTGCAGAGGCGCGGTAAGGTATGAGGTGGGGCGAGATGGGGCAAAGAGAGCGCGGCGCGGGAGATGGCGAGAAGGGAAAGAGGAGATGGCCGACCACGCGCGATCAATATACCAAAATACGCCGGCAACCCGCGCGCACGTACATACGTGTACGCGTGCGCGCGCGCGTGTCACATACATGTTATTCTTCAATGTGTCAGTATATATGTATGTGTATGTGCCTTTGCGTATGCAAATTGTAAATATAATCTAAGCCGGTCGCAGCATGTAACACGCGACTGTGTACGTGTGCACACACAACAGTTGTAACATGTAACTATCTCGCGGCAAACGATTCTGAAACAGCACCCCAGTTAAAAAATTCAATGCTCTTATCCCCGTTGGTGTACGAACAAAACGAAAATAAAAGGAATGCACGAATACACAATTTCTAATTGAACGGTAAACAGAAAATGTTTATGCGTCAAAAGTAAAAAGTTTAATAACTTTTGCAATACTTTGTTTTAATCTTTTTGCGCGCAAAATAAATTGCGATACAAATCAGACGTGTAATTGAATGCACTTTAAAAACTTCTACAAGTCGGATGTCAAATTTACGGATGTTATATTTTAGAGTACATTGTATCCGCTGTTTGAGAACCTCTGGGAGACATCACCGTTATTCATTGCCGACGCACTGATTATTTTTATCTAATAAAACACGCATAAATCACTTAACTGTTTTATGATCCTTTTTCTGTGTGTAAATACACACCACATACATGAGATTAAAGTATCGGAACTTTTGTTTAAATATTTTAAGCATTAGATTACATTAATATATTGTACATTTATAAAAATATCAGAATTGAACACATATATAATACGTAAATAAAACACTAATTCGCAGCTTTAATAATCTTATCAGTGTCTCTGTCAAAGAGAAGATGTTGCAAGATCATATTGTATTAAAAAAAAGATAAGTTTAACGATTAAGAACACCTGAAAATGTTTGCAAATACATTCCGCAATGCAGCTGACGGATCTACGACTTGTAAGAACATCGATAAGGCACATATATGGAAACTGATTATTAATGTTCTCAATTATACAGACACTTTTTTTATGTTTTTTTACGTATTTTCAATTTAAACATCACTTGAGAGACGACAATTCCAAGCACACAAGCCAAGCAATAAATGTATGTACATACTATACCGATCTTGTGTATAAATTGAATAAACATTTTTAGTTTATAAACAAAACATACGTTCCTTTCATTTCACTTTTGTCTTCTAATTCTTGTAGTTTCATCAAAAATTTGTAAAACTTTATTGTTACGAAATCGATATGCGCTCGCTGTGCTCATCGTAATCTCATTGTGTTAAATATAAATGAGTTCCAAATAATAATCAGTTGTGCGCATATTTTTATGTTGCTCAAATAATTGAAATAAGAGAAATATACACATATATGTAATTTGAACGTAGCTCGCGTTCAACGGAGCCGCGCATTGAGCGCCACTGTCGAACAATAACTTCGTGCTGCTGTGAGCTCTCAAAATGGCTGTCCTCAGCTATTATTACTTCGGGGAAAAAACAAATGACGACGCGCTCACGCTACGCGAGGAGGAGAGGAGGAGAGACAGAGCCAAGGCCCTCGGTATAACGTATCTTCGTATGCATGCGACTGTATGAGTACACATATGTATATTTGTATATATACATATATATGTATGTATGTATATATATATACATATATATATATATACACATACATATGTGTGTGCGTGTATACGCGGCCGTGTCTCTTTCTCTTTCTCTCTCTCTCTCTTTTTCTCCCTCTCTTCCTTTTTCTTTCATCTTCGATGTATCCAACGCGCACTACAGACCGTACCAAAAACATCGGGACACCTTACCTGTTTCCTGAAACCTCACATCAGTTTATCGAAGCGATAATGCCGGTTCGCGCAGAAACAAAAACATTTCTGTAAATAAAGCAACGATCTTGCAACTTTTCCTCTTTCTCCCTATATATGTATACTGTGTATGTGTATGTGTATGTACACATATATAACATATGTATATATAATATATATATATGTGTGTGTATATTTATATACATATATATTATGAATCTGTAAATATATATATAGAACGTATAAACGTCCGAAAAGAGACAAGTTACGAGAGAGAACATGATTATATATTTTTGAATACGAGATTTTATATGGGATATATAACTTTACAACTTTTATATAGGAAAATATCAAGCTGTAGATAGATAATTCCGAAGGGACTTTCAATTGTCTCTTGACTTTGTATTTTCTCTTTTTTTATAATTTATATTTCGTTCTTTTATTGTTCAACAATATTATTATTATTACATTTATTATTACATTTTATTTGTAACAACAACTCGTTGTTTACTACTAATTACAACTATTTGTTTTTCTAAGTAATTTTTCTCAAGATTAGAACAGATATGTGAATACGAAAGATATGAAGAGATATATTTAAAATTATAAATTTCTTTTTTAAAATATACGAAAAAGATGTGTATCTCTCTCTCTTTAAGATCTACAAAATATAAAAATATGAGTTGAGAAAAAAATTTAAATAAAGGTTAATATTTTTGCTCGACAACGTCACCAGGTATTGATAAAGTACTTTATTGATATTCAATATTTGTAGTTTGATCATTCGATAATCAGTTTGAAATGTGACAACAACACAAATGGAGATTCGCCTGTCTCTCAAAAGTGCAATTAAATAATCGAAAATAATCGTGAAAATTTTCTTTTTGTTTATATACATATAAAAATAAGAAAAAAAAACATTTACTAATAACTGATGCAAAATATGTAATTAATATAAAATAATTAATAAATCAATGTAAAGTGTAAAAACATTAATTTTTATACTACGGACGTACACTATTAGAACATTTGTCATATTCGAACATTTCAAAGTGATTTTGCATATTCAAAAAGTTAAGAACACAAATAAAAAAATGCGTATGCGAAAATGACAGAAGATTCACGAAACTTACCGTTTGAAATGATCCCTAATACGATCCTCTCGGATGTTTTCCGGCAGATTTCCAACCCACAGGTGACGTGTCTCTCTAACCATTTTGCTCCGAACTCTTCATTTGGGATCGGATGTTGTGGTATCGTTTGGAGGTACTGTATAACGACACACAACCTCGACCGGAACAATAATTCACCGCACACTTCACTTGACACGCAGAGCGCGCTATTTCTTTCGGTCGATTTAAAACTCTGACTGACTTTTTATCTCCCTCTTTTTACCTTTTTTCTCCTTTTACTTTTAGGAACTCACGTACTTCCGCTCTTGTCTTCACTTTATTTTACACTGACAGCGAATCAATCGTTACACACGTCCCTCCTTCTCTCGCCTTTGTTACTCCCAATTTGATCACTGCGGCGAAACGAACGGTCGATCACTAGTCACTAACCGGCAAGACGAGACGAGGATCCGAGCACACGCGACGAATGCTGTCGTCGATGACGCGACACGTTGAATCGATTGCACGTGCGTGCGCGAACGCAACAACGATAGACACGACAAAAACAGCAACAGTGGCTGCGATTGCCGAAACAACGACGGCAACGACGACGGCAACGACGACGGCGACGACGACGGCGGCGACGACGTGGCTCCCGCGATCAAACTTACTCGCCGCGACGCGCTCCGTCGTCAACGTGGGAGAGGCGGAGAAGAAGGAATAGGAGCCTTGATAGCTGACACCACTGACGATTATGATTGCGAGAATCAGTATCGTCGCCGGAGAACACCACATCGTATACCACTAAATCCGCGTATGGGGATTTATTTTGCGGCCCTGGCTTCCCTCAATCACACGTCACACCACAAGCACTTCCCGGCACTGCGCACGGCCGATCCATTTCCCCGGTGTTGAGCATAATTCCTTCTCGCGATGCACACGCGTTCGTGTCGACGTTACACCGCTCTGCCTCGTAGAGCGGTACGGCACGACACGACACGACACGATATCGCACACAGCACACAGGCACCGCACGCGCTGCAGCGCAGTGCAGCAGTAGGAAGCTATCTCAAAACATGCGAAAGATATTCTCTCGCCCGATCTTTCGTCTCCGTGCTTCGGCCTGCGTGTTGCGACTGTGACCCACTGTTGATAACGCGAGTCAATCCGAACGCACCGCTTCTTCCGCTCTCTTTCGACTTTTTCTTACTCGTGTGTAACTCTTTGGGCACGAAAAAACGACGACACTCTTTTACTGTACACTTATTGCGCACACACGCCTCTATACGTGCATCCGTTTTCGGATATACCTCAACCTCAAGCCACATACGCACGTATAGACGCGTGCGACACGCATGGAGAGCACACAGACATAATCTCGTACGCTCCGAAATGTATTCACTTTAAGATGGGATCTTTTCCTTTCTTGTTTTCCTTTTTCACATATCACCATATATATATGTACTACACATACCGCCCGCGAGTAATCACGTACGGTGTGTGTATCGCGCGTACACACACGTTTATATTTATAGATTTACCTGTGTATATGTCACCACTCTTTTTCTATTTCTTTTTTTTTTCTCTTTCTCTCTCTCTCTCTTCCTCTTCCTCTCTTTCTTACTTTACCTCTCGAACGTCTCGACTTGTTTTCGAAAATATCCGAGCATAGCTTTTGCAGAAAGAAGACAAGATCTCAAAGTTATCTCGGGATTTCGTGCAATTCCCGTTGCGGCAACGTATGTACATATGCGACAGTACCGACACTGCAATCTCCGACCGGACACATCGATACACATTTGAAAATTGCGACTCGTAACGGGTACGCCTTAAAATCGCACTCGGTTACTATTACACTCGGGTCATGTAACGCAGACGGAGCAGACTGGAGCTCCTTCTCACTGCACTACACTACACAGAGTGACGTCACCGTGGCGGGAGCGTAGCGAGGCTCGCTGACTAGCACCACTATCCCCTCGCGTGGTGGGAGACCGTGATAGGGGAGTGAAACGAGTCTACCGAGAGAGGCGGCTTGCGATCGTCGCCCGCCAGGCGGTGAGGCCGAGCAGGGGATGGTAGGGGAACATGGCGCGCGCGCTTAAAGGAAGGGAGAACTCGTTCGAATCGAAGCAAGGACAGGTAGGGAGAACTCGGGGGTACCGACGGAGTAGGGATAACGGGTCGAACGAGCTAACCCGAATCCCCGAACCACGCTTGTCTCCTTCGTCCCGTATCCCCTTCACGTCCCCTCGCCGAGATCATCGTGTTTCCTCTCTCTCTTCCTCACTCTCTTGGGCGTTTTTTTTTTTCATCTCCTGCTTCTGCCCCGCGTAAGTCATCCGTCCTCTTCCTCTTGTGCCACCACCACCTCGTGTTTCCATCGAGTCCCATCCGCCATCTTCGTTACGCGCTTCCCGTCCCACTCTTTCTCCTTGCGTCGCTCTTTCTCCTTCTCGTTCCCTTCCATTCCGTTTTGTTCCGCTCACGCGTGCGCGCTCTCGCTCTCTCTTTCTTGCTTCAGGGCCGGTTTAGAGACAGCCAATTACCCGGGGCATTGGTGCTTTCTACCGAATAAAGAATAAAGACGAACAATCGGATTACTACGAAAATAAAAGTACTTAACTTTGTGACATTTTCTCTAATCAAAGAGCTAACGATCAAACGAACGCGCTGACTTGTATATTGTATATGTACAAATTAATGAAGCTTTTGCACAGATGAACGTTTCCTCGCGCTTAAGAGAAATTCGGCACGCCACTCAAGGGACAAGGGCTCAAAGTTCTTTGTCCCGAAATTTTTCTTTATTCCGAGAAGATCTTAAAAAACGTACATTAACACATAAACAAACCGTGACGATTTTATAAAATATCTTTTTGAAACAAACTGAAAAACGATTAGTTTGGAAATTTCCGGTATTTAAAAGTCTTTTACAACTGCTTTCGAAAATCCATTTCATCATCAGTTATCTAAATATACAAATTCGAAATTTTTTGTATAACGCATCTGTAAAATATAATAACGGAAAAAGAAAATGTTCATCATTATTTACCTAAAGATTTTGCTGTGAACTATTACAGCAATGTTATCAATACTTTTTAATATGTATATATATATATACATTACACATAATGTTTTAATCTCTTAAGCTTCATTTATATACAAAACGTGTGTACTATGAAATATATATTTTTTTTATATATTATTGTTGAAAGATAAATTTATTTTTCACGCACAAAGAAAGACAAGCGATTATTCTGAGCGCATTGTGTACAGCTAAGCACAGCTGTGTTCAGTTATAGAGATTTACCTTTTTTTTCTTAGAAAATAACGCCCTTATCACAGCCAATTCAATTGTTTCTTTAGATTTCGTTAAAACAAAAGAACAGTCCGCGACTTGTTACGGGCGAACAATGCGCTAGCTGCGTGTCTGAACGATCGCCATCTTGTTCTTACTGAAAGACCACGTCCACGTACGGACGGACGTACGGGCGGACGGACGGGCCGTTGTTATGTCCATGCTTCGTGAGATCGTTGTCACTTCTCTGTCGTCGTGCAAACGTATATGTCGTATGTACGTTACGCGATTATGTCCGGGTCCCTGCAACGGCAGTAACATCCGTTCATGCCACCGCAGAAACGTTGCTCGACTAGAGAAAGCGATTTCCGTTACAACCGAAAACGGGCACGGCCGTCGAACGTTTCGTTATGGAGCAAGTCCCATCGCCTCCTCCGATTCACGATTGTGTTTTGTGTTAAACATATTTCGCGCAATTTTCGAACCGACATTTTTATTGTTTGCTCAAACCAATAGAATTTTATTAAGATTTTAGCAGACGCGGACGAGAAATCACATTTTTCGTGACAAAAAAAAACACGTGATCAATACGACATAAGTTTGCATTATAATTGCAGTATGTTGTTACTTTATTTACGATTCACGACACACATGTGACATTTTATACACCGTTTTTTGAACTCTCTCCGTGATGTTTTCAGTATCTCATTAGGAGTATTTATCATTTTGTTACACGCTCTTCGTGTAACTATCAATAATTTTATCTTTTCAATGCAATATCTCTTAATAAAGATAAACGTTATCACGTACACGTTATCTTTTAACTTTTATCTGTTGGTATATATATGTGCATAAATGACACTGCAATATTAAGGAAATATATAAGGTGTTTCCGTACTGATATTATCAGTCGGATGATCAATCAAATTGGAATTTTACATGCGAATACACGTGGCGAAAATGTATTGTTCTTATTGTTTTTATACAAGATTTTGTTTTCGAGAAAGTCAAGTTTTTTTTATCACATTATCTTTGATTGTCTTTTTAAAAAATGACAGAATTGAAAAATATTTATATAAATTTTTTTTTCCAAAACTTTTCGTCCAACGCTTCTATCACATATTTCAGTGTTTGTTGGCACATATTATCAGTATATATAAAGTTTGTTATGTTCTCATGATTCTTGCTATTAATTTTGTCATAACTGGAAAATAGAGATATATGTAGACCATGCTGGTAATCCCACGAGTTTAAAGTGAACGCGAGAAACAACAAACAACTCTGAAGCAACTTTCGGAACGTCGCGCGCAACATTTAACAAACGTCGCTAATACGCGACATACGCGTGTTTAATACTCTATACGCTCGTGAATCTTAATCCGTAGATGCGTAGGTGTGCGTCTTAATTCACCGTGCGTACATCCGTTATATCGAGTCACGAAGAAGACACCCGGCGGCGATTGGCCAAACGCCGCGGACTTCGTAGCGCAACGTTTCACTACAATTATCTTAGACCTTCTGCGAAGCGATTGATGATAGCACTTATCACATTGGATAAAGCTATTCGTCGCTCGTCATTGGAGCGCTTACTCCGCGCGTTCCTCGCGTCCGAAGGTTACGACGCGAACACAACGCGCACGAGACAAGATAAATCAAGCGCAATGCGTATAGATCGATTTCTTTTTCGCACTCTACGCGATAACAAAACCACGTAGCACGGACTGATTGTTTGTTTTTCTTTTCACACGTATATACGAATACATATGCTCTAGTTAGATAAATATAAATCTGATACAATCGGGGACAAGATGAGTTTCGATATCCATGACCGAGGTCTCCAATAGCAATTAGTCTCGTTATATAAGTTTTTTTGTCACTTGCGACACAGAAATAACGCGCGAATCTGATCACACGCGTTCGTTAGCGCTAATTTTTTTTCGGCTGTGTCAGAAATATTCAAAGATGTGTTTTCGCACAACTTTTATAAGCGCACAATAACGGTAATTTAAAATCACGTTTATTTAATAATCAACTATCCAATCAAATCCTTTTCTCTCGAGCAGATCAATCGCAAACGTTTGTACCTATATATTATACAAATGTAGAATAAAACATTTTTGAGACAAAATTTTTACAAATTGTATTAGTCAATGTTCACCTTCTACTCTTAGCGTTAACATGTGTCCGATTTGAAGTCCAGTAATTGTTTCGCAAATTGTTGTTTCAACAAGTAAACGGAGCTCTAACTTAATTTACATCAAATACAAACTGTGTCTAGCGTCGCTTTAAGGTTGCTTTATAAACTGAACAAACAACACGAACAAACAGTATACGGAACATCGCTTACAAGGTACAAACTTTGTTGTACCGTCAAAATACACAAATTACGTGTATAATTGTAAACGAATAAAGTTCACGGTTGCTATTTGTTCGTCATACAATGAGCAATCTAATGGGAACTGATTTTTTTTTTACGAACACTCTTGATACACCTACATTAGGTTAAGGTTACATCAGTTTATTGACCAAACATATGGAGTGTCTTACTGTTTTTCACTTTGTATATAAATAATTTACGAGTCGATTCAAGAGTCAAATATATAACAACTTGGGGTGTAAATTTTACACAAGAGATTTTACACAACTAGATACACAAGAAGAAAAAAATTGTAATCTCAACTGTGAATAAAAAATCCAGAGCTTTCTAAAAAAAATAAAACAAACTCGCTTCACAGATGACATTGTAGAAGGCGGCGAATGATACAACACACGCCATCTTATGATGGAGATATACGGAAGTGTGATATGGCACTCGCGGCAAATGGCCGCGATTGCGTACAACACACGCCATTTATTGAATCGTTGCCGAACTACATAATATGGACTGTGAATTCAGCGGATGGTAATATCAATTTCGCGCGTTGCACGCCCGTCAACAAGCTTTACATTTTTATAAAAAAAATGTATTATGATTTGTAACAGAAAACATTCTAATATACTGTCGTGATATATGTTCTGTCGAAATAAGAATTAATATAATTTATTTTGTAATATAATAAAATATTTATAATATACATTACTAAAAAAATACTCAAGATAATGTTGAAATAAAAATTGTGTATAATAAAAAATTATATTTATAAAAAAATTATATTAAAAAAATGAAATTCAAGATCTCATTTATTATATCAACCTTCTCTTTAGCACATGTTATTGAAACCAAATTTCTATTATGTAATATCATTACAGTAATGCCAAAAATTGTTCGTTTGAACTTGAAAGTTCTATTTATCGATATATATTAGATAAATCTTGTGTGTATATATATATTATTACATCATGTAAAACATACCGCACATACATGGAAACGAATATTTATTTCAACTTAGCGACTGAATATATTGAGCAAACAAATGCACGTGTTTGTGTATCTCATATATATTATACGTAAAAAACCTCGGTGCAGCAATTGAAACTCTTTACACATATTCAGTTCACTTCGTTTTCAATATATGTTTCATATTGCTGTGTATAAACATAAAAAACTCTTCTGAATTTTACCCGAGTTATTTGGCGTTTCGCGTATATTTGCAAAGTTCGCAACACAAAGAGCATTCGCAGAGAGAGAATGAATGATGAATGACAAATATTCGGAGTTTACGGAAGATGCGGAACCATCAATTACATCGTCGGATCCAAACGAGCGGAAATTAGCGCGACGACTTCGTATTCAACGACGTCTAGACACGTTGACTAAGTAAGAACGTTTTCTTTACATTTGGTTAATTACATTACATTGACACGATCCACAAAAAGAGTTACAAACTTTAATTTGAATACACAAATGTATTTCTTTTTTTCTACACTTTTATATTCTATTATGCAATTTTATACAATTTTTGAGATTTTAATATCTTCTTCATTTTTTCGCAGTTGTAATAAGTTAAAAATTAGTTTGTTAATTTAACGATAATAATATATATTGCTTTTGGAACAAATATTAAAATAATGATTATTTTTATCGTGTAATGGAATAAGTTTTGTTTTTACAGAAAGGCAGGCCCTGAAGATGAAAAAGTTAACGAGAAAACGCTTACTGAAAAGCAAATACTTGCTAGTTGCAAACTATTGGAGAATTTATCAATAGAGGCTGACGAAGTGGTTGGTAACAAATGTATTGATTGATTTTATGATTTTATTACACACTTGCGACACACACACACACGAATAATACATTAGTAAGAAAAAAGTTAATATTATCAAAGGATATACCTAATTTTTTTTTTTTCAATTAAATGCGACTTCATCAATGCATAGGTAACTTCCGTGAGAGTCGCAAACGATTTTAGAGAATTACAGCGACGGAAGGAACAGCAAGAGATCAGACAATCATTGTTGAGAATGCTCGAGGAAAATGATGAAGAATGCATGAAGAGATACAAAGAGATCAACGAAAAGTGGTCGGGCATTCTCGTATCGAAAGATCCGCTAGATATACACGCGGCAATGGAAGCTCAAAATGTCAAGTGTTTAGAGATTATGGCAAAGAAAGACGCTGTCATTGCGGAATTGCAAAAAGAAATAGAAAATGCTGATTTAAAATTTGTTAACGATCAGGCCACTCAAAATGAAGACATAGATATATTGATCGATAGAATAGACAAACAAGTTAGACATATAATATTTTGGAATATACATGTAATTCTTTTAATGACAATAATTAGCTGAAACTAATAAAATATTTATGTGTTTTATTCAGATGAATGCTATGGTCAAAGCATATCGTCACGAATTGTCGCTTATTAATAATGTAATCGAATCCGAACGAAAAACACTGGTGGAAACTATCGTGGAAAAATGGGAAGCGTTGTATAAAAAGTTTCACGAAAACAGTCTTACGGGTTTAGATAAACGGAAAGAGATAATGCGCGAATACGAAGAAGAAATGAAGAAGGTCGTAATCGAGCATCAAGAAGAATTTCGAACTCAAAAAATCAGTTTGGAGCTTGAAATTCAGAAGCTTCAGCAAGAAGTGCAAAATACGAAAGCGTTATGCTTCATGAACATCGAGAAACTTGATTACAGCTACACCGTGCTCAAACGACGAGAAGACGAAAATACTATAGTAAAAAATCAACAAAAGAGAAGGATTAACAAGTAAGAAATTACTTTAGCATCTTCTGCGGTTTTTCTTAGAATTGAAACAGTTTAATTTAATCAAAATGGCGTTTGTTCTCAGACTTCAAGACGTTGTCAACGCTCTGAGGAAAAATTATGCCGAGCTCGAAGAAAATACGCGACTTGAGATACAAAAGCTCACCGACCAAGTTCTAAAAGCGCACAAAAGTATTTTGGATCTAGTAGAAAAGTCAAATCGTTTTACAAATATTAATGATAATAAATACATGCAGATATGGGATATAAACGCAAAAGCCGCGAACGAGCTGCTCGATAAGGTATGCGAAAGATACTTTTTGAACGACATCGATATAAAGAAAATAACGTTTTATCTTCTTCAGATTTTAAGCGCCGACAAGATCATATACGAACAAGCGTTAGGTATCGAGTGGACTCCGCCTGAAGAAATCTTACTGAAGAAGGAAGACCTGCCGTCTTATCGTAGCGTAATGCACGCTATAGAAGAAGGTAACAATAACTAATCTTTTTCTGTAATCAACTGCTCATGAAATTTTCTTTGTTTTTGTCACACACGTATATTTATGTATATTTTATGCATATTTATTCTGCGTCTTCTAAGAAAACAGATTGGCTACGGAGAAAAGAACACTGTGCAAATCTTATACGCCGGCAAATACTATCGAAGAAATCAATTTAGAAAGACGTCTATTAAATCACATTATAAAACACATTGCCGATTGTTGTGATTATTTAATTGAAGACAGATTGCTCAGCTTAATTCTGCCTTATACGGCAAATGATCAATTAGTTATACGTCTAGATAATGTGTTTCAGGTACACACATACGAGAAATATATATATATATATATTTCATACACGATACATTTTTACGTTCCTTTATAATATTTCCGTATTAGGCATTGCACATTAAATCCGAAGAGGAACTCGGCTTTCTTCTGAATTTCTTTCTGCCATACGCGTATTGTCCAACATGTAGCAAAGACAGCGATGACACGAGCAAGAGTACAAGCAGGTCTACCTGCAAAGAAGAGACTAAAACTTCTCCAAAAACGGAGTAATATGAATTTATTACATGTACAATAAAATGATGTATATGATATATTTTGTCAATTAAATTATTTGCAATATTAACAGTGAAGAGTCAGATGTCTGTGAAGTTTCTGTGGAAGAATTCACGGAAGAAGAAGCTAAATTAATTAACGCTGTGAAAGACGCAATCTGTGAAGAAAGATCATCTACTCCTAGCGACGATGTAAACATGAATTCATCTCCAAGTTCTTCAAACGAAACGTTACTTCCTATTGCAGAATGCAGTTCCAATTCTTTTGCATCTATCAGTGATATTGTTAAAGGTATGTTTCTGCATCAAAAGTTTGCAAATAAAAATTAATAGTTAAGAGAGCGAATATAATTGTTGAATTAATATGAATTTTTTGCATCATGCAGATGACGATCAAATGCAACGACGCTTATTATGCGATCAAGGACATTTGCTTGAAATTGAAGCCACATTTGTTACTCGAGTTTTACGAGAATTTGTGGAAAGATATCATTTTGTTAAAGAAGAGACACCTCAAACCTTTCAAGAGAAAGTGACAGAAAAAAAAGCGGTAGTATCCCGAAACATGACAATTGAGGATGTCACAAATTTTTGGAAACGATACACTGAAATCTTTCCGTCGGAAAAGGAACGGCTCTGGGACGGATTACTAATTGGGCTTAAAAAATATCATGAAATATTAAAAGAGCGACATCATTTGAACATTGAAATACAATCGTTACAAAGGCAAAATGCGGAATTACGACGTTTATTGAAAACATATATAATTCAGGTAATGTCAAAAAAATTGTACATACGATGCATTGCAATATTATTGTGTATTAATATACCAAATATTTTAATTGTAAATATCACAAAACAATGAAAATATTGAAAATATTGAAAAATATTAACTACTCTTTTTAGCCTGAATGTGACGGATTATCACAACTTAATGGAGTTTGTTTGTAAATCAAACGAGTAGTCTACATTTTTACATGATCAGTACAGTACATATACACATATATATTTCCTGATATTTTATATTCGATTTACATTCAACTGTGGTTCAAATTCCACTGAAGTAAACATGATGGGCAATTTGACTAAATATTAAATGATCTAATATGAATGTACATTAATATATATCAACATTAACTACTTTCACTGACATTCATAAATTTGTTATTGTTTTCAGAAGAATATTTCATGTCAGAACAGTATGCAGAAATTCAGATTACAAATGTGCTCATGTGATTATTATATACGTATGTACAAAAGCAACTTCAATTTTGCAAATAAAATCTTTTCTTTATCTTCTAAATAATTCTGCGCATTGTTATTGGCATATAAACAAAAAGAAACAAAATAAAACCAATTAAACAAAAAGCTAAAAGCAGACAAAAAGAAAAAACTAATAACATCTTTCAAGTCATTTAAAATTGCACTATTCTTTGATAAAAAGCAATCGATAGAGACTTGTAATTTCACAAAAGTGTATATAAGAGAAAATATAGTCGTTATCTGAATTTCTCTTAAACAATGTCAATGAAATGAATTTTGTGAAAACATTTGTTCAGTATCAAAATAAAGTATGTTACTTATGTGTCTTACGGTTGATACGTAATACCTCCTGATACAAAATTACTCGATAAAGACGGTATTTGACTCTTAGTGGTTGTTTCCCCTTTTTTTCGATATGGAAAATATCTCACACTTGGATTCTTAGATCTTCTCATTTTGTCAGCGTGTTTTGCAGAATTCATATGCTGCAATTATACAAAAGGACAATATTACACTTTAAACATATGATACACATTACATACGCACATGCTTTGTGACACATCGTTAATACGAAAAAAAAAAAAAATTAACGAGAATAATTGTGTGTGTTATACTAATATATAATTACGTATGTGCTTAAAAATATTTTATATTTTATATATAAGTTATTGTACCACGCTACATTGGAGTGGCGAGTTGAAGAATTTGTTACATGTATCGCACTTAAGGATCGACGATTTTGTAGAACCGGATTGCTGTGTGTTACCACTTGACGATGGCATCGAAGTACCTTGGGTGACAACCTTTTTGCCATCCCAATCACCTAAGCATCAATGTGCGATCAACACTATCTATGTATCACAACCGCAGAAGCGGTAATTTGTGATAATAAATTAGCTTGAACACTACATCCATGCTATAAAAAGATCGACCATTAATGAACGCACATACTTAAGTAGAATATGTATAAATTATTACTAAGATATATACATATATATGTATATCTGTAAAGTGTAAAACCGAACATCTCATAGGAAAAATAATCCATTAATTTACAAACTTTTTATAGCAGTGTAGGAGATCGTAATTGAATATTAACAATGTTTATATCAACCTTCATATGTAACATTTATTAATATTTTATATTATAATCAAGTATAATATTTTGTGAATTACCTAACAAACGCTCTATATATATATACATTTTTTCTATATATATATACATTTCTATATATATATATACATTTTTTCTACTGCGTAATAAAACTATTTTTTTATTATCTTGATTATTGTTTGAACCACTGAAGCGTACATTGGGAAAATACACAATACAAATTACATAAAAAAAAATAAATAATTCAATTTTGTTAATTCTATCTTATACATGAGTTTTTATTTTTTCAAAATAGTTGTAATATATAGTATAAGGTAGTCAAGAAAAAAAGACAAGACAAATATTTAAAAATGATCAGAGAATATTTTTTCTATATATATATATAATACAGTAATTTTGTAATTATACTTTATATATATAAATATATAAATAATTGGATATATGTATATATATATATATATAAAGTTTCACATGTGAAAAGGTACAAATTGTAAGTTGAATGGTCTCGTCAACCAAACTTATTTATTAAATGTAACATCTGTGCGAACAATTCGTGACCAAATTGCTTTTCACGATAACATTAATAAGCAATAGATAATAAATATATATATAAATGTTACTTATTACAATAATTATTAAACATTAAATAATAATAAATAATAATGCACAATAACAACAACTTTGCAATGATCACTAAGCGCTTACTAGCACCGAAATTAAGTTTTGATAAAAGTTAAGCAAATAGCAAGCAAGTTAATTTTACAGAGTTAGTTCATAGAAAGAAGTGAAAAGCAAAAGTGAGCAGTAGTGTCAAGCATGCAAAAGTGAACAATACTAAGCTATAAATCACTGCAACTGTGTTTTTTTCTATTTTCTCCAGATACATAAAGCGATTATTTTTAAGACTATATGGCAATGGTTTTCTTACCATATAGGATTTATTATTACCTCTCAATAATCTCTTTTTATGACGGCTACCTAAAAAAAAAGTTTTTCTTATTTTTACCATATATTTCATTTACAAATAATATAAACTGTGTATATATGTAAAATTTAACATATATATTTAAGATTTAATTGGTTAGCTAAAAAAATGGAGCCACCATGTGCAAATAACTGACTTATTCTAGATATGGCTGTAATATTGAAATATTTTAACTATCTATTATTCCTATTTAATGATTATTCTCGAACTATTTTCTTCTTGTCTTTATAGAAAAAAAGGAGATAATTCGAGAAGATTCAGAAATACTTAAATTCTTGGATCTTTCATCTTTCATCTATTACAGCCTTTATAGTTAAAGATTGATTAATAAGTGTTCAAGTTGATAAACTGGTAACAAAAATCTAATTATTAGGCTCTTGGTCAATAAGCACTACTAGAAAATCTATCTTTAGGTGGCTTGTTGGTTAATGTTAATATGCAAATATAGCAATATTGTATATTTATTACCATTGAGATGTGTTTGTAACTGCTGGATAGAGTTTAGACACACATTACATACATTACATTTGAGTCCATTTGTCTCTTCATCTTTCGTAAACGAAATCTTTGTTTCTTCAAGCGTCGCCATGATGTTCTTTGATCTCACCTGTGAAATGGTAGTAAACAACATATATTTATACATGCTATATGAATAAAATATAATATATATTTACAATTGCTCTTATTACAAACCTGTTTGGCATGACGTGCACCTTGTAAATGTGTATCTAATACTGTTTGGCTGGTGAAGGAAAGGTCACAGTCTTCGCAACGAACAAGAGGTTTTTTGGTTGGTAAATTACCCATTATATTATCAACCACTGCCTTTGTTACAGGGTCATCGAGGCTTGGGTTTATAACGCTCTTTGGTGGTACAGCCATTTTTTCGTAGCTTCTGAAAAATATATTCAAAAATCTAATTTAACAAACCTTGAGATTCAAACCGATTATGACGTGTCACTTCAGTTACAAATAGGCAATAATAAGCCGGATAATATCGAGTAAATTCCGAAGATTGTATAATTGTCAAATTTATCAATTAACTAAATATACGAGGCGTGTGTTATAAAATACATTTAATTCAATATATACGATATTTCTATCGTACTTATTCTAACACAAAATTACTTCACAGATATATAAAAATCATTGATTTCCACGTATTATAATAGCTACGTCTATGTTTTACGACGAGTTGTACAAAATATCGAAAACTATAAATTATTTCACACAAAACTAGCAGAATATTTTAAAATACAAATGATACACACGCAGATAGAACGTTTACCGTTTTGATTCCGCCTAAGTGTAAAGCGTAAGCCGTAACGTGTAAGTCCGTTGTTATGAATATGTACACAATTTTTTTTGGTGTTTTGTGTAAACGACGTGTGCGGCTATGACTGCTCTTTCAAACCACGTTCACCGGTCTCGGAAAACAGACGGAATGATTTCAATCCATAAACATAGGCCGTTTTCCGTTGTTTACTGGCAGTACTGACACTTGTACAGTGTATGTTACGCGAACTGTAGATTTTCAGTACTGACAGCGAATAACGGAAAATATGGCCGCACAGATGCCACGACGCGACCAATAAAGAGCTGTCGTTCCGCAATAAAACGAGTTTGGCCAACTTTAATTAATATAATCGGTTGAGTAATCGTTATTCGCGATTGGTGAATTCGGTCGTTGGACTAACGCAATTGGTCAATTCCGTTGAGTCGATCAACTAATTAAGTTGGTCAAACTGATTCTGTAGCACGCTATTGGCTGTGTGAATGAATGTGAGACAGATGTACAGCGAACGGCATTGATTCGTTTCAACTCGCTGTCGATTGCCATTTAAAAATAGAACGACTGAATAAGATCGGTATTCGTAGTCGGATCTCTTATTTAAAATAGTCTTGAGTTCATCATTAAACAGTCAGTGATAAAATAGTCCGCGTGATAATTTAAATTAAATATGAGTACCGGTCGTAGAGAAGGGGAACATTTTCTGTTTCCTTCGCGAACAATTCGCTGCAGGTCAATGTACGCTGTTTCTACGTTTAAAACAACGTAAAGTATATCGATAAATCGTAAATGTACGATTCGATTGCGAAGTAAAGAGATTTTGTGTTGCGCACGTTTCTCAAAGTTCAATCTTTCTATTTTTTCTTTTCTCTCCGTCATCTAATTGTCTCATTTCGCGCGCAGAAAGTGCAAGTGTGAAAATAATTTACGTTAAATTCACGAAGTAAATCGAAAGCGCAGTTAAAATGAACAGTCTCGTGATTCTCGCGAGGCGAGGTTTACAAATTTTCAAACAAAAATATTGCGTCACGTAGAACACGCGCGTATAAATCAATTCTTATTAATCACGGCAATATTCTCATTGCGAACGAGTTAATAACTTTTATGCATTCTGCAAATGATTAAATTTACGCGAAATGTATTCGATCTTTGAAATTCTTATAAAAAAGAAGAAGAATACCTTCTTATTTCGCCGATGGAGAGAAAGAGCACGCAATGTTATATTAACGATAGTTTGCTATCAATTTGCAATATTCTTTATATATTCATGATTATGTGTATTACATATTTATATCGGTACACAAAGTTCACGGTTTTTACATTATCCGGCCGCTATTGTGCGATTGAAGAGATTACAGCTCCTAGGGTTCGCATCGCATCGAATTGCGTCCAATCATCGCGAATGACTAGCGAATTGCGCTTTGATGCGGCGGCTTAAGGAGATCAGCCAATTAGAGGGCAAGCTACGCGTATCGTCACGACGGCGATGTGCGCGCGTATAAGTGCGCGCGTATATAGGTGCCCGTCGCGAAATATAGTAGCAGCCATCTTATATTTTGTGTCGGAGAAAAACAATTTGGCCGTACAAATGTTTCGCGATTGTCCGTGAAGCCGCTCGACGACGGGAGGCGGTGCGCTCGATGAGGCGCGACGTTTTTCGACCCTAGACCCGGACCACTATATTAGCAAAGGTTCGTATCAAGGACAACGTTTGTGTTTAATCCTTTCACGTTCGGGAGACTTGCGGAAAAAGACACCGAGACTCCCCCTCGCGCGGCTTTCGCTCTCCGCGAGGAGTCCGCCTTTGCTGTCAAGACGTTCTGGTGTTTCTCCATCGGCGTGCTTTTAAAAATAGAGCGGCTCGCCTTGCTCGTCACCGGGCGAACGGTCCTTCCGCGACGGCATCGCGCCGTACACGGTAGTTCCGCGTAAAAGTTATGCAATCAGCTGATCGTCCCGTCTTCTGTCACTTGTCAAAGATAAAATGTCAAAGCGTCTCTGTCTAACCTGACGCGGCCGTACGCGCGCGTCGTGTAACGCGCCACGGCCAACCGCGATGACATACAACGTAGTATTACTTTTTCACGAAGTTGTGGTTTTTTATTTTTTTAATTTAAAGAACCACCACTCTAGATCTTTGTTGTTACGCAGGTGGATTGGTACGCGGGATATGAGCAGTTTGTCAAGCGCAATCTGACTCTGCTCCCCCACCAACAAGCAGTGCAGCAACAAGACGCGCAAGTTCAGCTGGCTCAACCGCAGCAGGCTGACATAATGACATCTATGTTCGACCAACAAATAAAGAGTGAGCCTATGGGATTTTACTCTGTTGCTTCCAGTCGTTCGGACGGATCTAACTCAATGGTGAATCTATCGGATGATCGAGAGGATCTCTCTCAGCAGGAAGGTCATTTGCAACCTCAACAGCAGACCATGCAGTTGAATCAGCAGCAAACTCAGCCACAGCCTCAACAGCCGAGTCAACAACAGACACAGCAGAATCAACAACCGCAAAGTCAGGAAATACAAGAACAAGAAACACCTAGCCGTCAATCTACTGGCCAGCAGACGGTTAAAGAAGGTTCAAGGTCCAAACCGCAGCCTTGCAAGGTTTGCGGCAAAGTACTGTCCTCCGCTTCGTCCTATTATGTGCATATGAAACTTCATTCGGGGAACAAGCCCTACCATTGTACAGTATGCGAGGCAAGTTTTTGCCGCAAACCTTATCTGGAAGTGCACATGAGGACGCACACAGGTGAGCGACCTTTCCAATGTGAGCTGTGTTTGAAAAGGTTTACTCAAAAGAGCAGTCTCAATACTCACAAACGGGTGCACACGGGAGAACGGCCGTATGCATGCGACATTTGTCACAAACGCTTCGCCGTGAAGAGCTACGTGACGGCGCATCGTTGGAGTCACGTGGCCGAAAAGCCGCTGGTCTGCGAACGGTGTACTCTAACGTTCACGTCCAAAAGTCAATTTGCGATTCATATCCGTACGCACACCGCCAGTACCACTTACGAGTGCAATATTTGCGGACGTACGTTTGTACGCGACAGTTATCTGATCAGGCATCAGAATCGGGTGCATCGTGACATGAATCAGAGCAACGCGAACCACAATCCGCCGACGCCACAGAGCAGCGGCGCCGGTACGCCAGGCACCGGTTTCGAGAGCCCGGTCTGTGATCTGCGCTACAATGAGGGACCGTCGTCGTTGGACGGCCTCGCAGGAGCTAAAGGCGCGGGCATAGCCGCGGAAATTGCCAGTTTAGCCAAGCAGAACAATCTACAGCTTCCACTACCGCTGCTGCATCCGCAGACCACCAACTAGTGTTTGGACGGTAACAGCGCCATCCAATCCCTGCCGCAACACCAATCACCACAGCAAGTAGTATGTCTCACCGCGGCGCCTACGCCGTTCATACTTAACTCACCTATATCTCACACCGAGCACACGAGCATACCGCAGAGTGTCTACCAAACGACGGGCTCCTCCAATTCCTTGGACAGCCCTAACTCCCAACTCTATCCGCACTTGTCGTCCCCTTTAGAGCCGACGTCGGAGTCGCAACCTCAGCTGCATTGCAGCATACCTCCGCCGGGGCTCCATCCCGCGATCTACATATATGCTCAGTATTCGAACACGAGTCCCGCGGTATCCTATTCGGCGGAATACATTCAGCTTAATAACTAAACGCGAGCTTTCACCTAGCATCGATCATTAACGCGAGCGAGATACATACCAGTGACTCTGGTGCTATTTAATCGCGTTAGTTGATCAAAGTGCCTACCGGAGCATCCACTTTCGGATCGTAACAACGGATGCTCACTCGTCACGGTTTAAGAATCGCGTTTTGAGTTTTTTTCTCACCAAGGAAGTGTGTTTCGAACACACAAAACTCGATTCAGTTGATCAACTGAATTGATTGTTGTTCGAGATAAATATTTGCTAATACTCTACGTCCATCTAATGGACTTTTTTTATATATTCAACGAGATCTTATAACACGAGATTGAATAGCACCCACTTGAGAGACTCATAATCAATGACTTTTAATGAAATCGTGCCGCGACGTAAAAAAGACGTTGTAATAAAAATCGATTACTATCCATACGCGATGCTAGCTGAAACCGAGGCGCGTAACGTTTCTACGAGTTTCTGCAACGCGTTTCAACACTTCTTGTTTCGCCTGATTTTTATCACATCTGCGAGTATACATATATATATATATATGTATATATATGTATGTATGTATATATATATATATATATATATATATATATATTATGCGAACCATTATACAACACACACGTGTACACATATTTATATTATATTTTTAAAGGAGTTTAGTCACTTGAATCTGTGATATAGATAGTAATTATTGTCTACAATGTTTAAACTATTGGTTTTAATACTTTGATGAATATCAAAACGAAAGAAAAAAAACAAAGGGAAAAGCAATGTCACGGAGCGATGTAGTCGTTATCAAAAATTTCACCAACATTGGTCTCTACCGAATGTGTTTGGTAGACACCCTACTTTATTAATTTACAAATGTAACAGCCACAACAATAACATTATGATGTATTGCTATCACTACTACTATTCTACTAATGCTACCACACCTATCACCACCACCGACATTTCCCACCTATATATTACTATCACTATTATTATCATTATTATTATTATTATTATTATTATTAATATTATTATTATTATTATTACAATTAATGCTACTAATCACCTAGTATTATTCTATTGCCACAACATACTACTATCACGATCGTTGTTAGAAAAACACACAAACGAGAGCGCGCGCGTTTCTTTCGGCAATCACGTGTACGGTAACGCATACAAACTACGGTTCGTAATATATAATTAGTCGTCATGGTTTCTCTTTAGCTTGAAAAACGCTATTCTCTTATGTTTTTTTTTTTTTTTAGCTCTAAACGTTTATCTTCTAGTGACATCCGCGGGATACGTAACCGAAGTGAGCGTTTGTTATGAAAAAAAAAAAAAAAGAAAAAAAAACCTTAGCGGTAAACTAACTGAGTTAACGTGCTACGTGTAACGTGCAGCTTCGATTAGTCGAAGCGAGGAGCAACGACACGCTTCTCATTTACACAAATCGAAGCTGCACGTAGCTAGCTACGTGTTGCCTCAGTGCAAAAGCCGGTCTTAGAAAATAAAAACACAGCACTTTGAATCAGTTGTACTTACTTTCCACATATCAAAAAGTGTACACACACGCACACATATAAAATACATATTGTATACACATATACATGTATGACACACAAAGATACCCCTATATTACAAAGCCAAAGTTTATAAAGCATATGCGACACAAGGGAAAGATTCTGCTACGTAAAAAAAAAAGTTTGTAACGCGTCATTCATTTTTCGCGCGTGCGTGCACGCGCGAACGCTCTGTATTAGGTATTAGTTTATTATTATCCCTCTTGTCCTCACGCACATACATACACACACACACACACACATATACACGTACACGCCAATGCCACACGAGCTTCGGTGCAAGCGCGGGGGAACCATGACAACGCGCATAAAGCTGGGAGTAAGTTTCGAAGTGCACATCTTATACGCGGTCTCATCACTGTCGAATATTCGATCTAAAAGATAGTTGCGAGAACACGAATAAATGCAAACTATATGGAACTACGAAGGTACACACAATTGAACAAAAAAATTCCATGTATGTGTGCTAGCGTGCCTCGAATCCCCTTATCGTAGTTATCTCTTTCTCTTTTTTCCCCTCCTCTCCCTCTTTCTCTGTCTCTGTCTGTGTCTTTCTCTTTTCCTCTTTCTCTCTTTCAGCGATCTAATTTTCACATCGTGAAACGATCAAAATGATCCTGCGCGCGTATGCCTGAGGCTTTCGATTTAAAAAAGGACGAAGTCATCTGGGCAAGACTGATTTTTATCACAATGAATTGTGAGACGTGAAATGTTTATTCTCTAATTTCTTTTCTCTCTTTCTCTCTCTCTTTCTCTCTCTCTCTCTCTCTCTCTCTCTCTCTCTCTCTCTCTCTCTCTCTCTCACTTTATATTCTTTTTTTTCTAATTTCTGCTTTCATTACGGAGGCGCATACAATAGATGCGCCGAAGAGAAGATAGTGTAATAGAGCCTCGTAAGTGCATGCTGAACGATGAAATCAATTAAAATAACCGTGCGGTTGATTAACCCGGTCCGTCGTTTCATTAATTAACGCCGTTAGTTAATTAAACGACCGACTCCGTTTAAAAGCCAAACTAAACAAATAATTAAGTTACGTAAGAAGAATAACGAACGGGGATTTTTAGTTTTACGTTCGTAACGAGACGCGAAATGAGAGAAATTTGATCTTCTTGTCGGCTAGTCATTGGGCAGCTCTACGAGATATTACTTGTATGTACTACAAAGCTGTGATTAAAGCCTCCGTGCATATGACCGCGCAGCTTCTGATTATAGTGATATATATATATATTTTGTAGCTTATTATACATGTATAAGAGTCAAAATAAGTAGGTTTTAGGAATAGCTACAAAACTTATAGTTCCGGTCAATCGGTTAATTATTTACTTCGATCTCTTTCCTTTTCTTTTTTTTGTCTTTTGTTTGTTTGTTTTTTTTTTTTCTAATTGTAAATATACACTTTTGCAGTGTTGGGCAACGGCACATATTTAAGTATTGTAGGTTATTATCGGGCAAGAATATAGTTACGTATTTAAAGAAAGTTTTATAACGCGCGCGGGGCGCGAGTTTACGGTTTTGTACATTTTTATATAATTAGAGTGTACTGTTTGAAATAGATGCTTGCTTCCGGAGCAACATGCTTTATCTTATCGATACATTTTAAGCTGATTATCTGTTCAAGTTTCAGTAATCTGCAAATTGCAGAGATTATCGAGTATAAATCGATGTTTACGTTGCACACGGCTGCGTTCGCGATTTCACTCGATCGCAAATTTGATTTTAACGTCACTTCAAACGTAATCGTGTACGATTGTTTAATCGGAGAATGCTTTAATTTGCTCGCGTTTTTAAACGTTAAGACTGGAATTGCACAAAGTAATGATTACTTTTTACATCGGAGTTATTAAAAATTACATAAAAATTGATTTCGTGATCTAAATTTATTATGTATATGTTTTTGCTCGCAAGACGAATTTTCAATTTTGTTTGTTTGAAATTAAATCAACGTTTGCATCCGCAACATTGCAATTTTATTTTGTATATAGACGTAAATCGGTAAATTTCAGCAAAAAAAAAAAAAAAAAAAAAACGATTGTAGCCAGTACATTAGTGTCCTGAAAATGTAGTAGTGAGATTTTAGCTGTGTTATTCAATACTTAGTATACGAACTATTTCAGACAGTATATCGCGTGTGTGTGTGTATATATATGTGTACATATATATATATATATAAATATATATATATATATATATATATAGGCTGTACGTATATTTTTAGAATTGCCCAGCACTGATCTGTCGAAACTTCCGAATCGGTAATAACGATCTCATACCGACAAAACACACCGACCCGCTTTTCCGCGGATGTAATTCTTCGAGAGAGAGTTCTGGTATTTGTGGCATGTATATCAAAAAAAAGTGTATTTTCGTAAGAAGAGAGGAAGATTAAGTTTCCTTTCTTCAAGAGAGCACTCGTCGGACCAATACATGTGTACATATAAGAGATGGTAAACAAAAAAAGAAAAAAACCGATAAAAAGACGTTTTGTGGCGTTTCTAAAGCGCATCGCACGTCTTCAAGTGCTATACTCGTTATGTGCGACGAGCCAATATTTCTTGTACATAGATATTACACGCGAGATGCACGTCTCTTTGTTCATTTATCTCGGATTTTCTTTTTTTTCTCTCCTTACCATTACCCTCTCTTTTTTTTTATTTTTTTCTTTCTTAGTAACGTTCTTTGTACGATTCTTTTTTTTTTTTTTTTCATTGTCTAACTACCGGACAGAGTACTTTTTATTTTTTTTAATGTTTAGATAAGCACAAAAAATTCTTATTACACAAGTATTTAGAACGAAATTTCTTTCTATATATAATATATATATACATATAAAACATGATAAAGCTTAGTAAGTCACAAAAAAGGAGAAATGCGTATTTGTACTATGTATTTTAATACATGCTTCGGATTTGTATAGATGATCGATATCTCGAAAGTTCAAAGAGTGCGACATCAACTTTGTTCTACTTTTCTCCCGCTTGCAACTAAAATTAGATCCGCGTCGGCTTATTTTTGTTTTACAGCTGATATATTCTTTAGAACGTTACATATTGATTATTTCCGGTAGTTGGAAGTCGACTATATGATTGATAAGTATCCGAAACAACGGGTAAGATAATGGTATTGCAATTGCTGTTGTCAAGTTTCATTCTTCAGAAGAACAAACGCGCTGGCTCATTATCGCACACACAGTGTGACAGCTCGCCAAAGTAGACGCTCTCGTAATTCAAGACAATGTGCACTCAGTTCGCACTTCAACTGTTGCTGCAACGAACCAAAATTTACGACCTTCGAATTGCTGCCTCATTCGCCTTACTTGCCAGACATGACCCTCCTCCTGTGCGATTTCCGTTTATTTCCGAATCAGAAAAAGTAACTCGGGGAAAAAAAATTTTCGAACAACAATCCAAGTCGTCGATGTCGTAAATGATTGTACTTTGGCAAGCTGTCATACAAGCACTATGTGCAACAATGAGACAGCACGTTTGACATTCGTTCTTCTGAAGGATGAAACTTGTCAATGACAACAGTGCAATGTGAATACTTCTGTCATTATTTATGCGTCGTTTCGGATACTTATCAATCGTCTCACGTATATATAATAACTCGTACATATGACGAAGTCGCACACCACATTGTTTTATACCGATTCACTTAGTAATACAGCATTAATATACAGTCGAAACACAATTGGTCTTACGTCAGTTGTCGATGTGACGTGATGTAAGTCGAGTTTACATGATAATGTTTGTACGAAAAGTTCGACGAAAGATTTGATTACCCAGATTTTGATACGTTGAAGACGCGAGAAATTGATTACGCTAATGCAATTGACCGAAAAGAAAAAGAAAGAACGCGCGATTGTCGTATCACATGGGCGTGTAATTTTGAAATTTACGAAAGCACTTTGTGTGTACATAGTGTAATTAGTAAACAAATCAAAAGACGCTTGCGCCAACCAGCATAAAATCCTCTCCATACAGTTGAACAAGTTACCGCTTACGTATTCCAT